TGACTAATTGTAAGGGGAGTTCAGGTTCTTGTTAATGCTGTGCGACTATGTGATAACTTAGGGAGCACTTAAGTGACAATCTCTTTCTTGGATGTCTATTATTAACTACATTATAAATGTAAAGCGGCTCTTAGATCATTAGCGAGTGCAATATTCAGCCCCCTGCTCCTGTTACATGTTGTGTATTTGTACATCTCTACAAGGCTTAAAAATGTTAGAAGCCTCTTTATATGTAAGTTTCCAGTTGATCATCTCTTGGTTGTGGATGGTTTTGTATGTCTGGGACTCCTGGACCAGTGGCAGGTGTGAACGTTCTGGTACCTTGAGTGACGAGCAAGTAGCTGCTGAAAATCTATGTATGTTTTAGACCTCATGCACCAGAGGAAACAAATCACCCAGGGCCACCAGCTGCAGCTTACAGATGCCCATGGTAGTACATTGGTGTAGGCGGGTGTATGTGGGTCTACGCTGCTACTTCTGTAAACCCGTACACTCTTGGACAGAGCTTAGCATTGTGTCCCTCTAGACGAGCAGATATTGAGTTACTCCAATGCATAGATCTGAATGGGCCCTGAAGGTTCTCAATTAAACCTCTGCACACTGCAGCAGGGAGGTATAGGCAGTATTTCCGTAGGGGGCCCCATCAGGTCAGCAAGGGGGCCTGGCAGAGGCTGCCTGTGGGTGGCACTTGTGCAATGTCCACAGCTTGGTTTGGGGACTCCTCTCCCCCAATGTTGGGACCCAACCTAGCTCCACCGTCCATAGTAGGGTTGCCACCTTTTCTTCCATCGAAACCCGAACACTCTAGCGACACACGGAAATTTTCTTGGAAGAATGAGTTGCGGCTTCTTCATATGTAAATAGTGCCACCCCTTCATATGGAAATATCACAGTTGAGACTATTTTCAGTGGGGGGCCAGTAGCCCCTATCTTAATTTTGGTTTCTCTTGTGTGCCTGATATCTTGTGTCCGGGTTTCTGCTGCCATGAAACCCGAACACAGCATTCAAAACCCGAACTGTCCGGGTGAATCCTGGACAGGTGGCAACCCTAGTCCATAGCCGCCGGGTGGGATGACTGAGCATGGTTATCAAAAATGTGGATATTATTATTATTATACAGGATATATATAGCGCCAACAGTTTGCGCAGCGCTTTACAATATAAGGAAGACATTACAATTACAATACAATTCAAGACAAGATGGTAAGGAGGGCTACATTCAGATTCGTTATTTTTCTATTCGGGATTCAAAATCCAGTCCGAATATACCAAAATATGTCTAAAGCATGTGCATACCAGGTTGGTAAATGAAGCACAGCAGTCTTGCAGCTTGAACCGGTTGCACGCTGCATATTGAGATCATTTGGCCCCTTATAACTAGAACCCAAGTCTTAACATTTTCTTACAGGCACCCTCATTCTTTAATAACCTGGGACTTGCCCCTTGTCCCCTGAGTGTACAGGCACCTAATCCCTCCTGGCAACTATTTCTCGGTTAGTTTGACCTCTGCCTGGAGGACACAGCTGAGAATGATGTGTGTCATATGCCCCCAGTAGTTACAGCTTCCCCTCTCTGTCTCCACACACGCTCTCCAATGTCTGGAGATAACTCAACTAATCACTCCGTCAATACACAATCGTCAATCATGCCCACTGGTCTTCTGCTCTTTCTGTAGCCTTCTCTTCATTTTCACACATCAAAGTTGTGGTTTGCAGTATAAGCAATATAGTTTACATGTGATACATGACAAAGGAATCTTAGAATGTTATGGGTTTCTTAGAAACACTGTCACTATGTTAAGAAAGAGCTACGTGGGACTGTAGACCACTAGGGAATATAAGAGACACCTTCCAGATG